GTCCTCATCCGGGGAGCAGATGACATAGAGAGTGTTTCCAGCCATTAGGGCTCAAAAGTTCCCCAAGCAAGCAAATCTGGAAGACCCGTCATCTTCCTTGCGTCGATCTCTCGACCGAGATGTCACCCCCTCACAGTTTCTGGCTTCTACGCCTCTTGATCACTCACTCAAAAGCGTCATGCTCGAGATTGGTGTCCAGACTGAAAGCTTAGATGGGCTTGTCCAGCCTGCTACAAACTCTATTTACAACCTGAGCCCTCGAGATTCAATGGCAACATTCGGCGGCGGCTCAACTTCTCGTACTACCGACTGCTCTAGAGACACTAAGGCATCATCCATGAAGAAAAAACCACCACCTTTATCTTCTAGCTCTGGTCTTCGTCGCACTCACGCGCATCAGGATAGCGTTACTTCGCCCACCGGGTCGGATGAGTTTTCAAGAAACCGCTGTTCTCTCAACTCTCTTAGGACTGAAACAACCAGTAACAGCGAGCAACTCACCCCAGCCTGCTCTCCAAAACGCAACCACTCCATGGAACTTGATAATCCCATGAACCAAACCAGTCATGTATCCGAGCTTGCTAACTCTTCAACGTCTCAAGGACCATCTAAGCCTCCACCCCCACTTGACCAACGGCGCCAGATTAACCCCATTCCACCAAACTCATCGGGTCTCCCTCCACAGAGACCCTACTCACCACCACCCAAGGAATTGGTTGAAAAAGCACAAATTCCTCGCACCATTCAGTTGGCTGTGCCCTCTGTACCTCCGATCCGACGTTCCTCTTACTCGAGCATGCCTCCACCATCTTCCAAACCTCGTACCGGCAAGGCTAGCCCGGCCACACATATTAGCAAAAAGAAGGCATCCACTCTCACTCGGGCAAATAAGCTATTCAACTCGGCTGACAACCATTCTGAGTCGCCAGAGGTGAGCCAATTTGGTATCGCTCTCATGGCACCAGTGGTTCATTCTAGTAATGAACACATCCGCCGAAAAATGCAACTCGGCAACCTTAGCATGATGGGCGGATCGACTGAACAGTTGAGTCAAAGATCTAGGCGCCAGTCTTTCAACTCGGATCGAACAGACCATACCAGCGATCCAGGTGATGATCTTGCACCAAGGTCCGCTAGTATTTCGGCCCCAACTACCACCGATCCAAACGCCATTCACGCTATCACTCAAACCATGATCGGAGAATTTTTGTTCAAGTATACTACTAAGACTCTCACCCGAGGGTTCAGCGAGAAACGGCACAGAAGATTCTTCTGGGTTCATCCTTATACCAAAACCTTATATTGGAGCACTTCAGATCCTGGGGCCCATGGAGCTAACCAGTCAACTGCCAAGAGCGGTAAGTCAATTTCTTATTTTTTTTCTTATTCGATGGATCTAGCTTCACTATGGATCTAGCTGTTCTTCTGATTTTAAGATTGACCCCATTCCTCTTCTCTGTACGTCGCTATGACAAAATAGTCCTCATTGAAAGCGTCCGAACGATTGACGACAAGAATGTCGCGCCCTCAGGCTTGGCTTCACACAGCCTTGTCATCCAGACTCCTAACCGGGAAATGAAAATTACTGCGCCTTCAAAAGAAAGGCACGAACTCTGGTTTAGTGTAAGTCTTCACCAAACGTTATACTCCTTCAACTCTTCCTCTTCTTGCACTGGTCATGTTTTAATGTATGACTAATATTGCTTTTCCCACCCAGGCGATCAACTATCTCCTGACTCGACCCGATCCATCTGCTACCACAAGTCCAGCATTCAATCAGCAAAATATCAGTCCTAACCCTTCTGCGAGAGGCCCAGCCCAGTCTACATTCTCCAGTAGAAACACGATGCTTTCCAGGTTTAGAACGCAGGATCCTTCGATTCTCAACACGCCACCGGCTGTACATCAAGCTATATATGATATGTCCAGCTCGAAATCCCTCAACGACAGTCCAGCAATTGCCTCCACCGGATCTTCGGAAAGGCTGACCCCCAAAGCAAGCAAAGGTCCCTCTGGTCTCCCTGTACCCATGAAACGGGGAGCTGCTCCATCTCGTGGATCTACGAAGCAGATGGCCGACTCGCCGCGCTTCCTGCAGAGCTCACCTGCAGAACCGATTGTATTCGACAACAGTTTCAGCCAATCAGCCTTTGGTCTTCATCAGGACCTTGACCGTCGCTCAGTCAGCTTCAACGGCATTCACCGGGGTGATGGTGAGATGGCAGATGACACCGATGTCAGTATGAGCTACGATAGTCGGTGCGATGATACCCTAGACGATGGATTTGAGGGAGTCGAAAACGTCAGAGCATGTTGTGATGGTAAACATGACGTTGGATCGTAAGCAATCCAGTTCAGTTCTGAGCCTCTAATCACAAACCTAAATTACTCACATGATCGTTATCTGCTTGCCTTGCGATTTAGATTATCTCGACGTCTCGCCCATTCATCGAACCATGAACACAGTCATGTAATCCACAGTCGACCAGCTTCGCGAGGACCTTCAGGAAAGCAGCGTGAGGCAGACCGGACGAGTTATGTCTCCAGCCGGGCTCTTCGACCCCTGGATAGTCCTAGCCTGAGAGCATCGAATCTCGAAGCCCTCCGCTCACGATATGGCGGCGCCAGTTCCCCTGGCCCTCAAGCTCAAGCTCAAGCTCAAGCCCAGCAGACACCTCCTCATCTTCGCAGGGTTCAAGGCAGGAGCTCGGTCATCGGCCAGGCTGCGCTTTCAAATTCCCTACAGTCCTCCCCCGCCGGCACTGTTTCGAGCCGTTTTCATCGCGAATCTGCGTTCTTTCAGGACTTGAAATCTTTCAATGCTGGTCAGCACCATTTTTTTTTTTGCCTTTCGGCTCTCACATCTAGATAGCCTTGATTGTCCTCCCTGCTGGAGATAGACTCCATTGGCTAATCTTTGATTCTTTCTAACAGCATCAGTCGAGCAATTGCAGACCCCGCCACCAAGAAGTAGTAGTCGGTTCCCCAAACAACAGATGGATAATCTGGCTGCAAGCATCCATAGCAGTAGACGGGGCTCGGTTGGCTCGGATCTTGGATGAGACAGATTGATTGTATTTTGTTGTCCTCAATCCATGTGGTTCTCTATTGATCTTCCAACTTTGACTTTTAGTTGTATAATTATATACCTGCTCATGCTTGGTTATCTATCAGGAAATCTCGTGGTGCATTTGTTTCTCCTCTTATCTTTTTTTTTTTCCATTCAATTCAAATGCTTCAAGATATCATGATCAATGGTGTGGGGGGGGGGATCTTCTGGCCTCAAAGGACATCTGTTTCTGCTCTCTGCTATTCCTGTACATACCAATCCATCATTTTTTTTCCTTT